TGTTTTACAGAAATCATTGTCTAACTCTATGTGAACATAAAGGACCAAAAGTGTTAAAACTGAAATATGAACACGCATATTATAAAGGGATAATTTCAGAAACCTCCCTTGAGGTTTCATGAAATATCACCTGGCTCTCCTGAACTTTGCAAAATCTCACCGAGCACCCTTGAAATGATAGTAGGGCCATATGCTAATATCAAAGGTGATAAATTGTCAATAATACTCTCATATTTAAACCTTCTAAACTTGTTTTTCTTTCTCTAAATGTTAATGAAATATAGGATTTAATCAATGAAATATTCAGCGCATTTGGAGAAAAATAGTTGGAGGTTCTTTTTTTCCCCTTTTTTGTGTTTCACAACTTTATTTATTTATTTGTTCCTATTCATGTAGAGCGCAAGAGAAATAAAGTAACTAAAACTCCGATTGCAGTTTTTCAAATTTTGAATTTTTTATAATAAAATTTTCATATTTCACTCCCATAAAAAAGTCGGTCTATTTTAAGTAAATTCTCTGTATGATATTAAAGCTGAATTTCATCTATTGTTGAGATTTTTTGGCTCAAATGTATGATTTTTTACATGCTAATTGCCTTCAATGCTATGGAGGGTTTTATTTAAAAAAATGGTTTAAAAAATATTTGCTTTTACTATCTCTCTCTACTATAGAAATGATTATCGGCTGTAACATAAAATCTTATCAATTTTCATCCCTTCATTTTTAAGATGGTTCCAATTTACTACTTTTTTTTCCTTGGTTAGTAAAATGTTCATTTTTCTATAGACTAAGGGTATTAAAGGCATTTTCGCCTTTTGCTTTAGCTCTTTGTCTATTTTCTAGTGTGACTGTTTAGTTACTGTTTTTCATATAAAAATCTAAAGTAGTTGACCATTGGTAACATTAGGATGGCTATGCACAGTGTCCATCAAGGATGGTAGTTGAGAACAGGAATTAAACAATGGAAAAATTATCTCTGAATTCTGACAAATAACGCTTGGCTAGATCATCCCACGGCTGAAGGTAGATATCATATTGTTGTCTTGAATGTTTCAATTCAGTAGGTGATGGACGTCATTGCTGGGGACAGTAGGCAGGGCTGAAGGAGCATAATTTTTAAAGGTTAAGGTTAATAATCTAATTAAACACTTCTGGATTATGTATAACAATAATGATACACTAATGCCATTGAATTAATCGTACTGCAAAGGAAGATTAATAAAATTGGATTAGGTCTGAAGGGTTACACGTATGTAAATAAAGTTGGATAAGTTTCCTAATGCAAAAAAAAGAAAAGAAAAGAAAAGAAAAAGTAGTTGGGTAAGTTTGATTATGGTATCTCTAAATTCCGTAAATACCGATCAGATAACAATTTGTACTAATACAAGTTGCTCGATTGATAAGAACAAACTACTTCCTTACAAAAGGTTGCGTGTTCAAATCCCACTACCGATGTGAGAGTTCTGTTGTTGGGTGATCTCACTATCTTATGGGTTGAGTTACAACTTATAAATTTATAATGCTGTTGTACAACCTTTGGCAATTATTATTGATTTATGCTCCATTCTTTGTATGACAAATACCTAATTTTCGATATATACCACTTAATCAAGTTCATCTTCTAATATTTAATTAAGTAAATAGGTTTTATTTTAGTCACTTATTATATGTCGACTCATGTAAGTAATAAGCCACATAATGAATAGGTCTCATTTTATTCAATTTATTATATGTTGTAAGTCATACATCACATAATTAATAGGTCTTATTTTAATCATTTATTATATACCGTCTCATATAATTTATACACCACATCATCAACAAGATATGTAGTATAGGGTCAAGATTGGCCAAAAGTGATAGATCATCTCCTAATATTTAGTCAAGTAATAGGTCTTATTTTAGTCATTTATTGTGTGTCATTTCATGTAAGTAACAAGCCACATATTGAATAGGTCTTATATGTTTTATTTAATTTATTATATGTTGTAAGTTATACATCATCTATGATTAATAGGTCTTATTTTAATCATTTATTATATGTGGTCTCATATAAGTTATATACCACATCATCAAGAAGATATGTGGAGTAGCATCAAGATTGGCCAAAAGTGATTTTTGTTTTTTGTGCAATAATAAGATTGTGATTCCAAATTATAAGTTGGGTTTTAAGTGTGGTTAAAAGGGAATATATATATATATATATATATATATATATATATATATAATTATTTCAATAAATTATACTAAACAATCCCGGCTTAATTATAATCGTTTGAGCCTTTGATCCTTGACATTGTAAGTTGTAAGACGGGGGATATTTTCAGTATCTAAATTCCTTGTTGCTCATATTTTGCTCCCTATGTATTCGTTAGAGTTTTTTGTTCATTTCTCATAGACTTTCCATTTTAATTAACTTGTACACCACTGCCAAAACGTATAAATTGAAATTACCACTGCTAAAAGAAAGAGATTTTATCAGTATGAGATAATTTTATACATTTATTTCACCAATGTATCTTATATTTAACCAGTTGAGAACATTAGGTATTTGAGATGTGGAATTTAAATTTCCACAAATTTAAACACAATGAAGTCATGTCTCTTGCAAAATGGAGCAGGGATTCGACCATGGCCAATCCAAGAACAAGGTGCAAGAAATATTGCACGTTAAAATTTGGCCATTTCTGGCTCAAAAATTAATTTGTAAAGATGAATTGGTTATCATTGAATTGGTTAACTTATCAACTTATAAAATGTTTTTACACAATATCACCTGTGTTTCGATAGCAGATTATTTGTAGAAAATTTTAAAATAATGTTGTAGTAGTTTTTGTGATTTGATGTACGTAAAATACAAATTTGATTAAAAATAAAAAATAATTAAAAAATGTCAATAATGCAATCAAAAAATATTTTTAAAATAACGAAGTTCAAGTTTGTTTGATTGTGAATTATTTTCAAAAATTTATTTGTTTGCATCATTAACACATTTTTTAGCCACCATTTTATCTTACATACATCACATTAAAAAAAAAGTGTTAAAGTATTTTTTTTTTCAAAAAATTATCCCAAATAATCTATCATCCAAACACATTTGGATACCTTTTTCCTTGTAAAAAATTTTGATTATTGTTCATTATCCATTTATTTCTTTAGTGTGTATTCTGTTGTATTTGTTTGCATTAAACTCACCTTTTCGCATAATTATAAGTGTTTCAATAATTTGATTTCAGTCACAATAATTGCATAGCCTCTGATTTAAGCCATTCCAGCAAATTGTTTTTTTTTGCACCCAAGGCCAAATTGATGACAAAATTTGATTGATTGCGATCACATATGCTCATTTCTGCGCTACATACACTAGAGACAATTTCACATAGCTCCCCTTATATTCAACGTAATTGCAGAAAATTCCCCTCTAATTATTTTAATAACATATAGACCCCCAAATTCTCATTCAATTTTTTTTGGACTTAAAAGAAGTTTTAGAATTAGAACTAGAAGAGCACAAACATGCCTCTCAGCAGATTTTCCATCTTAGAAAACCAATCCCTTCCCCCACCCCCAACACCCAAAAAAAAAAAAAAGGAAGAAAAAGTCAAACTTGTTGCTACATTTAAAATTCGGGTTAATATCAGAAACCTCCCCTGAGATTTCTTCTAATCACATCTAGCACCCCCCATGTTTTTGAAATCACACTTAGCACCCCTGACAGTAGGATGTGACAGGTTGTCCTAATCAAAAGGTGAGAAATTACCCAAAAACCACCAACATCAGGCAAATTTTTAAGCGGGAAAATGCTGGAAAACCAATGCTGCTGTAAACAAGTAAGGTATAATTCCCTTTGTACCAAATGCTCAATCTACTCTAAATGGTGGATCTCAAACCGAAACTTTTGTTAGCATTAATACTGCTGCAATAGTGGCCTCTAACACTATTACCAGCAGTTTCTCTATGATGTTTTGAGAGTGCTAAAGGTTCCCCGCAATCCTTGCTTTTGGTATCTGAAGTAGTTTAGGTACTAGTCTTCTTAGCTCCCAGCAATACTGAAGCAATGTTAGCTTTTGTGGACAATTTTTTGATAAGTGGTGCAATGTGCATCTGATTTATATTTCCTGCCACTTATGGTGTTGTTTGACTAATCTTAGAACTACTTGTGTATAGTTTTGTGCATTGCAATTCTCACCATCTAAACAACTAGTTGTAGATGGTGTTTTTGTTCAGAATTAGATTGCAATATAAGGCTTACGTATCATGTTACCAGACTGATCCAATGTAGTATCATGGACTATGTAATTAGTGAAGAAGGGGTAGGGACGGTTACTGCTGTTAAAGGTAGTATAATTACTCGCTGTTGTTCTAGTGTTACAACGTGTACAAATGATGTTACACCGTGTGGGACGGTTACTGCTGTTAAAGGTAGTATAATTACTTGCTGTTGTTCTAGTGTTACAACGTGTACAAATGATGTTATATCGTGTGCAAAATGCTTGTGTTAAATGTAGTATAATTACTCGCTGTTGTTCTAGTATTACAACGTGTACAAATGATGTTACATCGTATGCAAAATGCACACAAGCTTCCGGAGTGCAACCGTTCCGGCCCCAGTCCATAATTAGTTATGCATCTCTATATCGCCAAAATCTCTGATAATTAGTTATAACATTATTTTTATTACACTTTTACACCCTCAGCTTCTAAATTAATATCATATGCCTATTTATTTCTATTTTTATCTTCTAAAATTCACTAATCATTTAGGGCTTTGGGTAAAAGTGGAACAAAAATAAAGTCTCTCTCCTACAATTCATTTTTTACTACCATTTTCAAATAGATGGGCTGACAAGATACCAAAGTTGTCATTCCAGGGGTGTTAAGTGTGATTTCAAAAATATGGGGGGTGCTAGATGTGATTAGAAGAAACCTCAAGGGAGGTTTATGATATTAACCCTTAAAATTCTGTCATTTTCACACCTGTTTCTTCACTTCTTGCTTTCTGACCATGGAAGAGACAAGCTAAAAGTCCTCCTTTGAGAAGTATCTTGTTTGATGAAAGTCTTTACTTCAACTGGCACAGTATACTTGACACCAAAAAGAAAACTAACACAATAGTCTAGTTCTACTCTGCAAAGAAACTGTTGATGGAAGCAGAGGAGATGGACATCAATCCAGAAGAAGAGAGTTTACTTGGTCATTCTCCACCAAGAAGGACAAAGGGAGGTCTCAAAACCATGCCTTTTATCATAGGTAAGCAAGCCCATGTTATCTTGGAGTTGCATTTATCTTTATTGGACTGAAGTTTTGATCTTTTTCTTTCACCCTTTTTGGGTTTATCTATTTTGCAGTGAATGAAGCATTTGAGAGGTTGGCAAGCCAGGGGCTAATGCCAAACATGATACTCTACTTGACAAGAATCTATCATTTTCAAACTGTCACTGCTTCAAGTATACTCTTTATCTGGTCTGCTCTGTCCAATGGTTTGGCCCTCTTTGGTGCTTTTCTGTCAGATTCTTATTTGGGTCGGTTCCGGGTCATTTTTCTTGGATCCTTCTCCAGCCTTCTTGTGAGTCCCTTGTAACTTTTTCTGTGTTTGGTGATCAATTTAGTCTATTATGTTTGTTTGTTTTTAAGTAAAATTTGCGTCTTTGAAATAGCCCAAGTTTTGTTATTATGTTAAATTGTTGTGGAATTACTCATCTGTGCATGATTTTGAGCCAACATTTGCAAGTTTTGTGTATAAAAATAAACAATGAAGCGATTCTATTGCTGTTTCTTGATAACATCTTTCTTTAGGGAATTGGGAATTTGATGACTGAGGAATGTAATTAATTTGGTCCAAATCAAAAGTTCTTCCTATCATTGTTGTCAATGTTAAATTTTCTTGGAGTTAACTATTATAGTAAAGAAGAATCAGGGTCAATTCCAGTGCAAATTGAACCTATTCAACTAATTAGCACCAGATGCTACTACTTATTCACCCTTAAATTACAAAAATTTAGGGGCAGTTTTCTTGATGTTGAAGAAGATGAAACAAGCCTTGGTAAATTAACTGATGGATGGAAAATGTAGAATACCTGCACTGTGATTCTGCTATACGCATAAATCAGTATAATGTCTTATTAAGGTAAATGAACGCGAAGAAAGGAGTGAAATTCAGAAATGAGTTGCTTGAGAGGTGAATTTTGAGTGGCTACTTTGAGGTATGTCCACTAACTTATCTAAGCTTTTTTTTGAAGATAATAGATTACTATATTAACACTATAATATATTGTCAATACAGAATTTCTGAAGAAAAGTAGAGTCTGTAGAGCAAGCCTGTAAGAAGAAGTTAACCAAAAGATCAAACAAAGTCTCTAGAAGGTTAATTTACTTTTTGTCTTAGCCACAGTTACAGAGGGCTCAAAGCCAAATAATTTCTCTTGAATATGTTGCTTTATGCGCATGTGCAACTCCAAGTCATCAGAATTTGCACAAATTTGTGACTAATCAATTGCCCAAATTGTTTGTATGGATGTGCCTCCTAAGGGGCTGCATTAAAAGGTTCATCCTCTCAATATCCTGCAAAAGGAAAGCTATCTTGAAGATTAACTGATAGGATTGATAAAGTAAAATAGACAGGAAATATTAGTTGGATACCAGGTTAACTTTGGCTGAGAACTTTTCAACCTTTTGTTGAATTAGAGACAGATTTATCATAGATGAAATGCTTGTAACGTATCCTTTGTGAAGCAATTAGGCTGCTTGTTTGCCGAAGTAGAAATGTTGATTATGTACTTGTGCTGTCACATATGCATGCAGACAACCTGTTTGACTGTGCAATGACATCATATGATTTGGTAACATACAACTATCAACATATATGCTTCTAAGCATCATTAGGAAAGGTGGAATAGAAATATGACAAGAATAGTTGCTTTTGGATCCATATGTAAAAGAGAATCTGTAAAGTAAGATCATCTCAATGCTGTCATATCTAGTACTGGTATGCATGTAGTTATTGGTATGCCCGATAGGGCATTTTTCTTTTTATGGTGTTGATATGTCATAAATATTTGGTATTAGGGTAAGATTGTGGGGATTGAAATCTCTGTCCCCTTTTTGGTTGAAAATCAATATATTGTCTGATTGTGCAGGGAATGATTCTTCTGTGGCTGACTGCTGTGGTTCCACAATTGCAGCCTTTATCTTGTGACCAGTTGAAGCACAAGTGCAGTGCTCCAAATGGAGCTCAAATCATTCCCTTGTTGTCTTCATTTTTGCTAATGTCTGTTGGAGCTGGTTGTATTAGGCCTTGTTCTATTGCTTTTGGTGCGGACCAATTTGACAACAAACAAAATCCCAATAATGAGAGGGTTCTAGATACTTATTTCAACTGGTATTATGCTTCTACAGGAATCTCAACTGTTCTTGCCATGACTGTTATTGTTTACATCCAGGATCATTTGGGTTGGTCAGTTGGATTTGGAATCCCTGCCATTCTCATGGTTTTCTCTGCTCTGATGTTCTTAATTGGCTCCTCTCTTTACGTCAAAGCAAAACCTAGTGAGAGCTTGTTTACTGGATTTTTTCAAGTCCTTGTGGCAGCCTTTAGAAAGAGAGGGATTCAATACCCTTTGGACGAAGAATACAAGTGTTACCATAGAACCCGGCAGTCGAAGCTTCTATCACCCACTGAGGAGTTCAGGTACAGCTGCTACATTTTTAGATGCCATTACATTAGTAAAGTTTCTCAAACTCTTGAGACTTTTAGATATGTTGATATTGACAGCCTCTGACACAGTCTGCCAGTCAGTTTTTTAGAGAATACACTGCAGTTAGTATGATTGTTTACAATAATTGGATGTTAATTGGATAATCAAAACATTTGTATCAATCTGGATCTTGCTCGGAAACGTAGTTATCAGACAGAGGAGTTGTCTTCTCCTTTGTGAGAGCAAGATAATAAAAATACTTTTTGCTTGATCAGTATAGCTTACAATAAAATCACTTTGACATTTTTTCAAGTAGGATCCTTGGTTGTTTTACTTGATGCTTTAAGCACTGGTACAGGTGTTTAAATAAGGCTTGTGTTGTTCAAGACCCCGACACAGAGTTAACTTCAGATGGATTAGCTTCAAATCCATGGAGACTCTGCAGTGTGGAACAACTTGAATCCCTTAAGGCTCTTCTCAAAGTCATACCCATGTGGTCCACAGGCCTTGTACTTATAGTGACCATGGACCAAGGTTTTCTAACACTTCAAGCAAATTCCATGGATAGGCACTTATTCTCAAATTTTGAAATTCCTGCAGGATCCTTTAGTCTGTTCATGATAATTACTTTAACAATTTGGGTCGCATTTTATGATCGTGTACTAGCACCGCTATTGGCGAGATATACTGGTAATCCGCAAGGACTAAGTCCCATAGTACGGATGGGCATGGGGCTGATTATGTCATTTATCGCAATGGTATTGGCAGGCGTAGTCGAGAGCATAAGGCTGAAAAAAGCAGTTGAGGAGGGGGTTGAGGATGATCCTGATGCTGTCCTGGACATGTCTGCTATGTGGTTAGTGCCACAGACGGTATGCATTGGATTGGCTGAAGCTTTAAACGCAATTGGACAGATACAGTTCTTTTACATGCTGTTCCCCAAGAGCATGTCCAGTGTTGGAGTGGCTATGTACACATTTGGGATGGCTCTGGCTAGCCTGATTGGAAGTCTTCTGGTGAATATTATCAATAGCATTACTAGTCATGGTGGTAAAGCAAGCTGGTTGGCCAACAACCTGAATGAAGGTCATCTTGACTACTATTATTGGCTGCTTGGCTTCTTAAACTTAATCAACTTTTTCTATTTTCTCTTTTGCTGCCGCTTCTATAAATCTCATCACAACAGCAACATGCTGTCTAAAAAAGTACCAGAAAAAGAATCTGGTTATACTCCTTTGCCTTCAGCTTGATGAATATATAATACTAATGTGGGTTTGTTTGGATTGAGCATTATTTTCCCAATTTTATTTGCTTACATTATTATTACAATTTCCAATACACTTTTTTATCTTCCTCATTACCTTTTTATCTCACATACATCACGTCACAAAAAGTGCTATAGTAAAAATATCCCAAATAACTTACAATTCAAACAAACCCATTGTCCCTCTGCTATAATTTATGTATCTGCAGTGATTACAACAAATCTAGCAATAAATATGCTGAATGTAGTGAAATAATCTTTAGGGATGATTGCAGAAACCTCCCCTGAGGTTTCTGACATTTGCACTGACCTCCCCTATAGTTTGGAAAATTACACTAACCTCCCCTGAGGTTACTAATCCTTTGCAAATTTAGTCCAAACGATTAAAATATTATTTTAGAGAGTGAAATTAGAATTTTGTACCAGATTTATCCTTTGTGCTACATGTCCAATGAATGATAAAGTATTATAAATCAATTAACAATTAATAAACTTTAAGGAGTATAATTTATGGGCAAATGCGCATTACGTATTTAAAGTACCGGCTCTTTACGGGTATTTTACTTTCAAACATTTAATTTATGATAAATATATTAATATTTGTAAGTAAAATTTCAAAAGTGTTACAGTAATATTCTTGCAAAAAGGAAATCAGTAGGTTATTTATTTAATATAAATTAAATATTTTTTTTAAAAAAAGAAATGACCCATAAAATATTAATTCTTTATGACTTTCATCCATTACATAAGTAAAGTATTCGTTCTTGATGTGTATTTTATTCTGAATCATTTAATTTATATTAACTACATAAATGTTTGTAACTAAAATTGAAAAAGTGTTATATTAATATTTTTACGGAAGAGAGATAGGTAGGTTTTGTATTTAATAAAAAATAAATATTTGAAACTAAATACAAATATGTATTTGAGCGTAAATATTTGTATTAAATTAAATGTTTGAAAGTAAAATACCTGTAAAGAGCCGGTACTTTAAATAGTTACCGACTCTTTATGGGCAAACACGCATTATTCATTTAAAGTGCGGCTCTTTATGGATATTTTATTTTCAAACATTTAATTTATGATAATATATCAATATTTGTAAGTAAAATTTAAAAAGTGTTACAGTAATATTCTTGCAAAAATGAAATCGGTAGGTTACTTATTTAATATAAATTAAATATTTTTTTAAAAAGAAATGATTCATAAAGTATTAATTTTTTATGACTTTTATCCATTACATGAGTAAAGTATTGGCGCTTTATGGGTATTTTATTCTAAATCATTTAATTTATATTAAATACATAAATGGTTATAACTAAAATTAAAAAGTGTTATATTAATATTCTTACGGAAGAGAGATTGGTAGTTTTTGTATTTAACAAAAATTATTTGAAAGTAAATACAAATCTGTATTTGAGCGTAAATAGTTGTATTAAATTAAATGTGTGAAAGTAAAATACCCGTAAAGAGCCGGTACTTTAAATAGGTAATGCTTATTTGCCTATAAACTATATTCCTTAAAGTTTATTAATTGTTAATTGATTTGTAGTATTTTGTCATTCATTGGGCGTGTAGTACAAAGGACAGATTTAGTACAAAATTCGAATTTCACTCTCTAAAACAATATTTTAATCGTTTGGACTGAATTTGTAAAGGATTAGTAACCTCAGGGGAGGTTAGTGTAATTTTTCAAACCACAGGGAAGGTCAGTGCAAATGTCAGAAACCTCAGGGGAGGTTTCTGCAATTATCCCTAATCTTTATCACTACTACTGTTGCTTACTTCTGCTCCTTATGCTGTTACTCTGAGAAAAGAGTTGTACCTAAAACTCTGCACGTACATTCCTTATTTGGATAATTTTGGATGCGAGCCTTTGAGTTTGATTTGCCCAATTTAACTATTAGAGCAGATGTGGCTAGCAAACAATTATGCTTGCAAATTAGAAAACAAATGCTTGGGGATTGTAGGACTATTTGGTACAATTATAAGATTTTGGGGACCAAGGGGTATTACCTTAAACTCTTTGGGTTGGGGGGAAGGATACTAAAACGAGACATGAAATACATTACAGCGCCAATTTGCTTTTGCAGTACTAATAAGGTTCGGAGTTTTAGTATATTGTAAAGTACATTCATATCCTCACATGCGTATGCACAGGAAGTCTGTGACAGATGCATAAAACCAGAGACCTTTGGATGCGAGCCTTTGAAGTCTGTATGGCACATCATTTTGCAAACAACGTATTCAATTTTTTCTTGTGTTTGTTAAGTCCATTTTTTCACAATTTGCACCACCTTTATGTTGGATGGTAGCATCGCTTTACACTAAGGTGATGCTTAAGCTGCTTCTATTGTTTTGGTTTTTGGCAAGTCCACATTCACAATTGGCACCACCTTTGTGTTGAACACTACTACTCTTTTACCTAAGGTGATGTTTAATTTGCTAATTCCTTGTATCACCAACACTACAGACTAATATATTTTCCATTCAAGAGATTTTACATGGGCATTGAGCCTTTTGCATTCCAATATATTGGCACATTCTCTGCAATCTGAAATTATTAGGAATTTTCCCTAGAAAAGGAATGATCAGAACTTTCTAAAATGACTTTACACCCATACACTGTATGCTTTTGCATTTTGAGGAAAAGCCTTGAATTTGCTCGTTCCATGATGCCTACAATGTGAGATGCTCATTTCTTCGTAATCCAACTTAACTAGTAGTGCATCAGCCAGTTACCCTAAGGTCTCTGGTTCAACTTTCAAATCTTCCTCTGTCTCTCTTGTAAGGCTTAGAGTCTCGCCTTGAACAAAGTAATAATAATAAAATGATAAATAAATAAAGGTTTATTTAACGTGTGTGTATTGGACACTGGTCAAGATGAATTTCAGGCGTTAGGTTTTTGGAAAGGTAAGATTAATTAAGAAAAGTACATAAATGCAAAGGAAGGTAATAATTATTAGTGTGGGTATATGCATGATAGGTTAAATGAATAATCAACCCCAAGTTAAACAAGTTTGCCTTGCTTAATGACAGGGTTCGGCAGCTGTGGACTCCATGACATCCGGAATGTCTGGCTGTAGATGGACCGATAAAATTTATTTTGAAGGTGCTAATTTTAACATATTTACACTTGAATAAAAATAGAACATTTTCAATTTTTAGCAAGGACAAAATATAAATTTATGAAAAATATTTTTAAACTTTTGAGAGCGCCTTTGTCACTAGTTATTCCCAGGGTTGCAAACGAGTCTAGTCGAGTCGAGTTGAGTTTTTTGGCCTAATCAAGCCGAATCTTGACTTAGTTTTATTAAGCTCGAACTCGATGAGCTGCCAATTTAAAGGTCGAGCTCGAGCTCGACTCGAATTCGAATAATTATTATATTTTTAAAAAATAAATAAAATAGTATTTTTTCTTAATCGATAATAAAATATTAGGGACATATATATAATTTCACTATTAAAATAAAAAATTATATATATATATATATATATACTTGAGCTAACGAACTTAATATTTTTGAGTTCGAACTCGAGCTCGAATTCGATTTGGCCAGTTCGAGCTTGACTCGAGCTCAATTTGAGCTTTGACTCGACTCCTCGCGAGCGGCTCGATTCGTTTGCAACCCTAGTTATTCCTTTCTTTTTCTCTCTTTCTTTTTTTTTTTTTTGTGTGCTATAGTTTTTTGATCTTTCATTTATTCAATTCCTACCATTTTATTAATTGAGCATAAATATCCTGTGCCATTCAAGGCTCGTACTAATATATTATAAACACCCATGTGGAGATATTTTATTAGGTGGCTGCTGGAGTCTCGACACATATCTTAGTTCAAGATTTTAGGTTCATCTTTATAAGATTTTGGACATCTGAATAACTTCAACATTTTTAAATAATTCATCTTAGCTATAAAGGCCTCCTAGTCATGACGCTTAGCTCGTGGATAATTTTCTTTATAATCTGCTATGAAGCTTAGCATGTATGTAAAGAGCTTCATACATGCTAAGTAATATGATGAAGAAGAGAATTGGTCCTCTTCGTTTTCTGGATCTTAAAATATGATGAAGGCGAAGCAATTGACAAGTAATCTGAAGTTCTTGATGTAGTTGTTTCTTGTTTTTGCTTGTACTTGACTTTCATTCTCATTTTTTCTTTTCCCTTTTTATTTTTGAGTAAACACCATTCACAGGAGTACGATTTTCCTATAGCTTTAGTTTTTTTTTTTTTAAACTAAATTCCGAGTTTCACATAGGAGCTTAAGGTCTTTAGAGAAAAGTTGTGTAGGTCAAAAGGGACAAAGGACATTTGGGAGGTCTTAAGATTCAAGATTAGGAACTGGATCTTAAGTGCTGAATTTCATAATTGATTTGGAAATTAAAAAATTTCACGTAGAAATGCAGGCAAATTTTATTCATCGAGTACAAATATTTTTTCCTCGTGAAAAGAGGAAAAAGGAAAGGGATGAGATTCAGCTAGCTTTACATGTATCTAAATTCCTTTGCTGACATAAATCTATTCAAGAATTTGTCACTCCTGATCATTTTTCAACTTCTGAAAGAGGCCATGGAAAAACTGTAAAATCTTGATGAATTCCACCACAACTTTGAAAGCATTATTAGCAGCAAGAGAAGTGTAAGTAGCAGCCTCATTAGATTGAGCAGTGCCACCCCCCGCCAAGTCGGAAAGTGCCCTAATAACTATGAAAGGCACCCTTGAAATTGGTTTCAAACATATTTATTTCAGACAAACTTGGTCTACTATAAAGGTCCAAAAACGAGTAAAATTAATAAAGATATGTATTAGAGTTTAGCTAACTAGCTAATTGCATAAGTTACATTGTTTCCCCTAGTTGATAAAAGTTTCAATTAACTAACGGAGGAAAAGATAACAAGAATTGAGATTCTCATAAAAAATAATTTAAAAAAAAATCTCCATTTGAGTTTCATTACTACCTTTGGGAGAAAAGGAAGTCTATCTTTATGGATCCACATGTGACTTATTATTTAGAAATTTTCACTTTGTATG